TAAACATATACCGAACCGAACCGAAAACCATGACAACGAAACCGTGAACCGAACCGTGGATTTTGTGAACCGTTCCACCCCTAATTCCAACCCATGACTTTTAGCTACCGCTGTTAAACCAGGAATTTTAAGATTATTTCCATCTATGCATCAAGTCATGTGTTTTTAGAATAACGATGGGATGCATTTCATTAACATCAATAATATTAAGCTCTGATAAGATTCAGTCAAGGGGAAAATCATCCCATTTCACACTCTAGTGAATCTCTACAGACATAAAAAAATCAGAAAAACGTGTGAGAAAATTATTTTTAGAAATGCAAAAGCTTTCCCATTTAGACCAAGGCTATATCATACGAACCTCTAGCTGGGGGCATGATATCCAAACATATAAAGTTAACTAAATATAATGTGAATCTTTAACACAAGAATCTGTGTTACTGATTATTAGACAATCTATTTTTATTCTTTGGCTTTTAACACTACATGAGAGTCTCTGTTTTTGTGGTTTGCTTCATTTTTTTTTTATTTGGTTTTATTTGTTTTAATTAATTCATTTCATTATATTTGTTTTATTTTTTTAAACTTCTATTCTATACAATTTTAATTTAACCTAATACGTACAGCACGTTGTGACAGCCGTGTTTGTTTTAAGGGGCTTTATAAATAAAGCTGAGTTGCCATAAAACTGTTTTTTCTTTAACAGAAAAGCAATTATTTTTACATTTTAATTAGAACATACGAATTCCAACAATTGTAATGCGATCTGTACCATTTTTTTTACTGTTTTCCCAGACAGTTAGTTGTTATACGTGAGGAAAACGTGTATAGAAGCTTCTAAAGCTTAGAAGTAAGTGGATCATGTTGCAGGAATCTGCTTCCTAGAGAACAATATGAAGACAGGAGTCAGAATATAGATATTATATGAACTGTTGTTAGAGATAAACTCATGAAATCTTAAGATCCATTAAGTCTACATTAAAAAAAGAATTTCAACTATAAAGACTCTTTAAGCCACTGAAATTAAGGATGCTTGTTTGAGAAGGGGGAGGGTTTTTGCACCAGCTGGTCTCTGTCACTCAGAGAAGTAGGTCACGTCAGTTGGTTAGTTAACCCCAGCAGGTTTAACAGTGCTGAGGTCAGGCACCCATCCCCACTCTTGTCGAAGCCCCCCCGCCCCCCACGTACCCCTGGTTTTATCTCTTCACACCTCTCTCCTCTCAGCAGCGCTGACACATTAGCAGGCGTGTTGGAGAGCCTTACTGTCAGCAGGAATCTATCACATGCTATTAGCCGCGCTCCAGTGGCCAGGCAGGTGGATTCATCCCAATAAAAAAGCCTTTCCTCTTTGGGGTTCAGTGCTATAACTTAGAAATGAAAACTGACCTACATGCAAAACCATATGAGTGGCAACAAACTATTATCCTAACTACAGTATGTCATCACTACAATAAAGCAAGGCGGAGGCACTGTCATGCTGTGGGAATGTTTTTCCTCAGTGAGGACAGAAGGAACGGTCAAAGTTGATATTTGGAAATAGATTAAGGGTAATGCTGGAAGGGAAATACTTGAAACTGGAGCAGAGGTTCGACTTCCAGGAGAACAGCAACCCTACACACTATACAGTTTACAGATTATTTTTGTTTTATTGATTTCATAAGAAAAAAACAATAAAGAAAGGTTGACTGTTTTAATTCACCATATTTTGGTTTCCTGGTAGTGGCTGCTGGCCAATAGAGGGCGCTAGGGTGCAGCCCCACTCACCCAATGACATTGATTAAGACATAAAAATAAAAAAAAATAAGAATTAAATGCTGCCTTGCAGCTAGAAGGTGCCGGGTTCAATTCCCAGCCAGGGGTCTTTCTCTATG